GCGATCGTGGGCAGAAACGGACACGTGAGTAAGGCGATGCGCGGAAAACAGGAACCTGACATAGCCAAGAGGAATGAAGAGGTGTGTACTTGTCTTTTTTTTTGTTTGCCTTGCTGTCGGCTCCTCTATGCACCGGTAGTGGAGTTGTAGTGTTCTTACTTTGTTTCCTTTGCTTTTCTCCTGTGTATTCTAATATTATCACTGTTCTTGTTGTTCTCGTGGTGCGGTGTCGGCTGAACACGTGCAAGCATGAGAGAAGCGATATGTCGTCCTTCTTCGATGAGGACACACACGGGGAGTCGGCGAGGAAACGGCGGCACATTGAGGAGTCGCAGCAGCGTTACGGTGGGTTTCCATCCGGTAGTGGCGAGAGCGGTGACAACGACGACGAGGAAGAGCGACCTGTCTTGACTCGCACAGGCGGTGGTGGTGGCGGCGGTCGTGTCGGGTTGATGCTGCTCCAGAGCATGAATCATGCCACGCCCACTTCCTCTTCGACTGCGTCCTTGTCTCCCGCTCCTGTTGGCGGGGCGGCGCAGAAGATACGTGTTGTGGGCGAGTACGTCCCGCTCTCCGTGGGCGGCTTCATGGAGAGCGCAGCGGAAACGGTGATGGGTGACATTCACAACGTGCGGCAGGGCGACATCATGTGCCTCCGAGGCCCGGCAGCAACAACGACAACCGCATCGACAAAGAGTGGTGCCGGTGGCGAGATGCGCTTCGTGAAGGAGGCTGAACTCACAGAGGAGGAGCGACGCTACGGTAAGCGCCTCTCGTCGGACATGCTGCAAGAGTTATTCGAGGTGGGCCGCGTAGACCGTGCCACGAACTCACTGGAGGGTCTCTTCCTTGATGGGACGCGGCGTAAACTGAAGTTGTACGCTGCACGTCCTGCTGGCTTCGTCGAGACGGAGCTATTCCGACAATGGAAACACGACCCGAGTACGCGCCCAGTGCGGACAGTCTACGCCTCAACCGATACGAGCGCCCTGCAGCAGAAGCAGCTAGCTCCTCCTCTGACCAGCAGCCACAGCAGAAAAGATGAAGGCAACCAACCCCCCACAGCAACGGATAATAACGGTAAAAACAACAGCAGTGGTGCTGAAGCGCCGATGCCGTGGTGGGTGACACCGCAGCTTATTGTGCGCGTTGTTGAGGAATCTGCAGGGGATTTGTTTGGAAAGAAGTTTGTGGTCAAGTCTGTTGCACGCAAAGAGGGAAAGATACGGCTGGCACCATGGCAGCCAACTGGGGCTCACGGCAAACCGGCAGAGTCGTCGCTAGTCGACATTGTGGGTTGTGAGGCGCTTGAGACGCTGGTGCCGAAGGTGGGCGAGCAGGGCATTGTTGTGCTGGGCAACATGCGCGGCGAGTTGGTGCGTGTGGACGCGCGGCTCCGCAGCGCTGAGGGGGGGCTCACGGCGGTGAAAGTCACCTCCACGCGAACCGGGGACGAATTCACTGTCGGGCCTCATGAAGTGTGTCAATTGGCGCTCGCGCGGTAGTGTTTGCGTCACTGCGGTGGAGCCCAACATGCGGGACGAGAGTCTGTCTATTTGTCTCCGTCCGTGTGCCGCTTTCCTCCTATTTTCTTCCTGGGCTGCTGTTATGCTTTAATTTACTATCGCTGACGCTTTACATGTCTTATGTTTGTGCATGTACGTGCAACTTCTGTGTCTCTCCTCCCGCGTTTGGATTCTTGTTGCTGGTGTTAGCGTAGGCAGCTGTGCTGCGCTTTTCTATCACCGCAGCATGTACGACGACGCTGAGCCGGGCGTGGGACGCGTGGACCCCGTCGAGTACTTCAGCTCCCGCCGCGGCCTGCGCACTGCCGGCTATGCGCAGCAGCATCGCTCGCAGATCGTGTTCGGCAACGAGGGAGCGGCCACGCAAGGAAGCAGCAGCACCAGTCGCCGTGCGCGTGGCCCGGGGAGGGACTTCGCTGATTTCGTTGAGGCGTTTGGCTTTCCCGCGCCGCGGCCTAAACCGCAGTCGCAGAGGCGTATCTTCGCTGCCTCCGCGCAGCCGGGCAGCATTAACGTGCTGCAGCGGCCCGCCGAGGAGGCGGCGCTGCGGATGCCCCTCAGCCGGGGACACTGGGGCCCGAAGTGGGAAGGGTCTTTTGATTATCGGCAACAACAACCTCAAGAGCAGCAGCAGCAGCGGAAAGTGGAGGGGGGCCAACAGGAGGAGTGGCAAGATGAGATAGCGCCTACGCGGGTGTTTCGTAACGGTGAGGAGACGCCGGTGCTGCACGACGACGAGGAATTAATAGCTCTGAGTGACGAGCGTATTCAGACTCTGGAGCAAGCACTGGAACATGAGAAGAGACGACTGCTGGCGTTGGAGAAAGGAAGGAGGTATAGGAGGGCGCGGTCTGCTCACACTGTGTCGCCTCCTCTAGACGCGTCTAACATCACCACATGCCGAGGTAGAAGCGGCAGCAGCAACGGCGAAGGAAGAAGTAACAACAATATCAATGACTGTGTGACCAGCAACGGCTGGAAGCAAAACACGTCCCCGCCGCCGCCGCAGCAGCAGCAGCAGAAGGGTAATCGCCGTGCTCCTTCCTCGCAGCGCAATGACAGCAGCTATGACATCACGCCAAAAATAACCGTCATCCCCTCACCGTTGTCGTCTCGTGGCAATGGGACAGCGTCACAACCAGAGTGGGTGAAGGAGGCGTACGCACGCCATGTGACGTCGGGAAGAGTGCGGGGCCGCAGCAACTGGACGTTGACGGAGCACTACGCTGGGTGGCAGTAGGTGGCTGCTCTTGCTTTTAGACCACTCAATGAGAGTAGATTTCCCGGGTACCTCTTGTAGTCCTTTTTTTTTTTAACCTTGTGTCCTACATCGTGTTGCTCACCTACTTGTTGGCAGCGTTGACTTTTCATGTTTCTTATTTGCACCTGTCCTCCATCGCTTAACACTCCTTTTCTTTCTCCTCTCGTTCTCTATTCCCACTGGCGTTGTATGGATACGCGCAGAAGTATGCGAGGGCGCGGGGGCCTTCTCGGTGGGGCGGCGCAGCGGCACATCGACGAGCACGTGTCGGCCTTCTTCGACGCGGAGCTGTCGTCTAGCATCATGCAGCGGCGCCCTCGTCGCGCAAGGGAGGCACCGGATGCGAAGCCCCAGCATCAGCAGCAGCAGCAACCACTACCTGCGTTCGACGCTTATGTTGTCTTGGACTTTGAGGCCACGTGCGAGCGTGACAGGCGCATCCCCGAGCCGGAGGTCATAGAGTTCCCGATGGTGGTCGTCGACGCCCGCAGCGGCAACACCATGGCGGAGTTCCAGCGCTACGTACGGCCCCTGGTGAGCCCCAAGTTGTCGGCGTTTTGCACTGAACTAACTGGCATCACGCAGGCAGTGGTGAACGCGGCGCAGCCCTTCTCCACCGTGTTAGACTCGGCGCTTGAGTTTCTTCGCAGCGGGGGGTACGGCGAGGCGCCGCCGCTGCGCAGTTATCTCTTCGTGACGTGGGGCGACTGGGATCTGCGCACGATGCTCCCGTGCCAGCTGCAGACGGCGGCAAGGATAGGGACGCCACTCGACGTGCCGCCTTCCTTCCGACGATGGTGCAACATCAAGCAGTTGATGCAGCGCATGGAGCTGCCTACTCCACACCGAATGAAGGACCTACCGGAGATGCTGGCTGCACTGGGCCTACGCATGACAGGACGCCATCACAGCGGGATTGATGACTGTAGGAACATTGTAGCCATTCTCCAGAGGCTGCTGCGCGACGGGCATGTAATTGCGCCTACAACAGATCACAGCGGTCTCCAACAGTGGGTAAGCTCTCTGCCAAACGCACCTCTATTGACCAGTTCGATTGTACCTGAAGCAGGCCGGTCGCCACCGCCTGTGCTCAATGCCAAATGCATGGCAGGGCATGATATGAAGCGACAGCGCTCTACACACAAGTCTGTGAGCAAGCTTAAACATGAGCAGCAGCAGACCCAAGCACTGGCACCTGTACCAGAGCGGCCTCAGGTCAACATACTCACGGATGAGGACCCGTTGCCGGTGCTCCTACAGCAGCACCAGCACGACGGTACGTTAACAGAGACAAGGAAGGTGTCGTACTCCAAGTCCCTCACGCGCATCCTGCGCCACGCAGCGGACAGCATGGGCATCCCCATCTCGAGCGCTGGGTATGTCTGCGTTAACGACTTGCTTCGCTGCAAACCATTCTGCAGCGACCCTGCGGCACTGGGGCACATCGCGCAGGTGGTGCAGACCAACGACAAGCAGCGTTTCAAGTTGGCCTATGACGAGAAGCATCGCCTGTATATTCGAGCGAATCAGGGACATAGTCTTGAAGGCATAGACCCCGAGCTTCGACGCATCATATCTGCAGCAGAAGTTCCTCTCGCTATTCATGGGACGTACCACCCAGCATGGAGTAAGATTCGCGCGTGTGGGTATTTGTCGACAATGACACGGCAGCACATCCACTTCGCCAAAGGCTTCACCAAAAGCGATGGTGTTATTAGCGGCATGCGTGGTAACGTGGAGGTGTTTCTGCACCTTGACGTTGCAAAGGCCATCGCTGACGGTGTCGAACTGTGGGAGAGTGCGAATGGTGTGATACTGACGCCTGGTATCCGCTCCACAAAACAGTTGCCGCTCACATACATTGAAAAGGCGGTTGATCGGCAAACAGGGCAGACGCTCTCAATCGATCCCGCGCCCACACATGAGTAAATTTGCCGTGACGGGGATTATCTCCATCAGCTTGTTTTTTTTTTTTTTTTGAGGGGCAATCGCAAGGTGTGTTCCACCAAGGCACTGCTTTTGTGCAGCCCTCTTCTCCTGGGAACCCACCGTTTTCCTCTTGTTGCTCCATCTTGCAGGCGATGAAGGCCAAGGAAAGGGGGAAACCCGAGCATGAAAATGGGCACCGGGATTGCGATCACTGGCATGAATGCGATGCCTCGCTGCATCCCGCACATCGCCTCCCGCTCGACAGCATTTTTCTCTACGGCACATCGTCACGCTGCTGTGTTATTGGCACCGACGCGACGCGGCGCGACTACCATGTGCTGGATTTCACAAGATCCAACAGTGACACGCTCCGCTACGACGTCACCACCACGTACACATCCGATGACATCGAGTCCCTTGTTGCACACCTCAAGAGAGAGCCGAATGTGCGCGTGTTGCGTGCCAAGGCGTTGCTTGGCTGTGTCCGCTTCACAAGGGGATACTATCTGCTGCTGGCGACGCGGCGTCGGTGTGTGGCCCGATTGGGTTTCCACCGCATATTTGAGGTGGCTGATATTGAACTTGTGTCGTTGTGCGCTCAGGAGACGACAACAGCAACAGCGGGTGTGGGCGCGTCGCCCCTCTTGCCGCCCCGCACCGTGGAGGACTACTACCGCAACCAGTTTCTCGCATCGTCGCTGAAGCAGAATTTTTACTACTCTCACACCTATGACCTGACGAACACTCTGCAAACGAACATGACGGTTCCCTTCAGAGAGCGCAAGCTACGTGATAAGTTTGTGTGGAACGAGTTTCTCGTTGAACCGCTTTTCACGCCATTCACGACGCGCAGTGCCGCAACGGAAGAAGAGGCATTGTTAAGCCCCGCTGGCATCGGTCAGTGGACGGTGCACCTGGTGCATGGCTCTGTTGTGCAATGCCCGGTATGGTGCAACTCGCGCCCCCTTCTTGTTACTCTCATTGGTCGTGTCAGCAAGAACTTTGCTGGCGCACGGTATCTGCGCCGCGGCGTTAGCAGCGACGGGCATGTTGCGAACCACGTGGAGGTGGAACAAATCGTCGTGGACGAATCAACGCTCCACACACACTTTACAAGGGGAGGGTTCACTTCTTATGTGCAGGTGCGAGGCTCGGTTCCGCTGCATTGGTTTCACCCCCCAACACAGCTGCCGAAGCCACCCATCAAGTTGGGTGTCACGGATCTGTACTATACTGATACACGGAAACACTTCCAGGAGTTGCTGGAAGATTATGGGGCGCCGCTGATCATAATGAACTTGCTTCGGCAGCGCGAGAAACGTCCGCGTGAAACCCTACTTAGTTCCGAGTACCGTAAAGTCGTGGCGATGTTGAAGGGCCTTATCGCTCGAGAGGAGAAGGTGAGGGAGGATGAAGAAGTGGAAGAGATCCTCTTGTATGATGAATTCGATATTCGTGAGGCAGCACACGACGCGTGGAACAATACGACTGCGCTGGCAGAAGGGGCACTGGAAAAAACGGGTTTCTTTGCATGCAATAGCAGTGGGACGAGAGTGCGGCGGCAAGATGGTGTCGTGCGTAGTAATTGTGTGGATTGCGTTGACCGTACAAATCTCGCCCAATTCTTTTTTGGGCTCCACGCCTTGGGGCACCAGCTCGGCGCATTGGGCCTTCTCCACGCTCCTGTGGATATTTCCCTCTCACCCGGCGTGCAGGATCTCCTATTGCGTATGTACCTCCTCATGGGTGACGCTATCGCTGTGCAGTACGGCGGCTCACCGCAGGTGGGCGCTGGGGTGTTGAACAGAGGAACCGGGTGGGACAAAATAATGGGAATTAAACGTCTCTACAACAACATGGTCGGTGACCGTGAAAAACAGTCTGTATTAAACCTCTTCTTGGGGAGGTACCAGCCATACCCAAGCATGCACTCTGCTGCGCCTAACCCGGTGATGCGCATCCCTGGTGCTAACGACGGCGGTGGCGGCGGCCATGGCAGGAGTAGCATCAGCAGCAACGTGAGGGACGAGAGGGCTTCCACAGCACGCTACAGTCTGCCGCACGTCGGGCCCGAGGGGCGCGTCGGTCGTGTGGTTGACTTGTCAGAGATCGAGTCTGACTACTATCTGCAGGTAAAGAGCGCCCCGTCACTTGCGAAACCCGATTTGGTGACGGGTTGGTGGAAAGAGCCGCTGCGTCGCTTTCACCTCGCGCTTCACCGCCGCCGGACAACGTTGTCTCCGTCAAGACAGAGAGTGGCGGATGCACAAGAGGCGGAAGATATCCGCAGAATGTGTCTCCGTGAGCGCGCTGCCGCCTTGGTGGTGAAGCAAGATGCCGACGCCGACACTGGAGAATCCGGCGGATGTGTGGCATTGCAAGATGGGGAAGTGTTTCTTTTGGTGTCGACAACACCATTAACTACGCTAGTCCGCCGAACGATGGTGTTGCCATGCCGCCAGCTCCCTCTGGGAGAATCAATTCTCCTGCAGGATCTCATGAAACAGAGTGGGATTGGCCTCAAAAGCGTGTCCCACGACACTGGACTTCAGGCAGAGGAAATGTTGCATGATTATTGCACATACCCGGCGGAGGTGCGAGCAAGCATCTTTTATCGCGACATTGAAGCTGTGCGACGATTATGTGACCAGTGTGAGCCCCCTGATGAACTGCGGCGCATGCAGATGGCGGTGCTCACAAAGAACGGTGACCCGGCTGACTGGAACACAGAGACGGTCGTCGAGGCGCTGATGGATGTGGAGCCGGAAGTAAACGCTAGTACTATCAACTACCTACGGCAGATGAATGTAGATGGATACACCCTGCTGTACCAGTTGAGCACTGAATTGATGGGACAGAAAGTTATATTGAGCCGCTTTGTCGAACTTCTGCGTCAGTTGCCGCGTGCAAGCTTGGAGAATGCGCGAGTATGTCTTCAGGAGTGTGTAGTGTCCACGGAGAAAATGTGCGATGCCGAAGGAGGCAGTGACCTTGGGCAGCATATCGCCTTCCCAGACATCACATGCCGAATCCTGCAGCCATTCTTCCAGGAGGCACTATACCCTGCCACTGTGGGCTCAGTCGTGAGGCTGCTGCTGCAGGAAATGACAGACGAGGAGCGTGGCGTCCCGCGCAGCAACCGTCTCCGGTACCGTGAGAAGACCAATCAGCGCGTCCCGCCTGCTGTCGTTGCGTTGAACTCCTTCAATGCAAAGGAGCTGCACCAGTGGCTGTTGCGTGAGTCGCGGCGTCTGGGTCTCACTCTACATCAGTACGTTGAGCGCCATGAGGCGTCTCAGGTGGGGTGGAAGTTTTTGCTTTGGCTTGCGCACGCTAGTCTGGTAACGCGCATCATTATCGAACCAGCTTTTGGCGTCTTTGTGCAGCCCGCGATCAAGCTGAATGATTTCGCATCTCGCACGAACCTGTTTACCCTGCGATCCCTTGAAGAGGTACATGTGCTTAACAGAATCAGTACGCAAAGAGGTGGGAGACCGGCAGACTCCGGCGGAGGTACACCCCCGCTTGCCGACTCTGCGGCTGCTTACGCTGAGTCTTTGGTGAGTTTGGCATTGGACATGCTCTCTTCTTTGCAAGAAATGGTAATAATGACAGGTAGTGGGGACAGCACTCACGATTCAGCTCTACGTGCGATTCTGAATAGCGTCGCGGCATTAAGCTCTCACCTCATGGAGGTTGATCTCACAGCAATGCGATCATGTGAGCAGTGGTGCTTCTGGGCAAACGTATTCAATGCGCTTTACATCCATGCATGGCTAGCGGCTCCAGGGAAGCGAGTGCAGGACTATACAAGCTTTTACACTGCCAACGGGTATGAAATCGGGGGTTACTTCTTTTCACTGAACGACATCAAAAATGGCATCCTTCGCGGTAACAAGCCGGCTCCCTTTTCCCTGCTGCCGCCATTTGAATCTGGTGATCCGCGGCTGTTGTTTGTGCCCGCGGACATCGAAGAGGCCTTAGGTGGTAGTTACTTGGATGCGAAAAGAACAGTAAGAACTGCTTCAATAAATCGTATGCAAAGCCGTATTCTGATTACCCTTATCGACTGCTATTTAGTGCCGGATAAGTTTGAGAATGTGTCGTTGTACAGCCCTCGCACGCTCTTCAATGAAGAGGATCAAGCGGCTCTCGATGCCACGATCAGCATCAGCGACATCTCAATCGTGGCCACGGATGCGAATGAGAGTGACAACGACAACCCAAATGACGGTGGCGATGAAGACCCAGATGCTCGGGCATCGCCCCTTTTTGTAGGTGGTGTTTTGCGTCGAGCAACTGGATTTCCAGTAGGAGCGGCGAATTGGTTCAGCTCGTGGTTCGGTCATCGACAGGTGAGCAAGACTTCCATATTTACGCATCCGTGCCTCCCTCTTGTTGCGGCTACACTGCCAGAGCAGATGTATCTGATTGAAGACCACATGCTGCGTTCACTCAGCAACACTTCGCAGGCAATGGTGATGCGAAACGGTGTCCTGTGCCCTCGCTCAGTGCTACCACTGCTCATTTACCCAGAAGAGTTTGGTGCCACCACGGAGGAGATCATTCGCTCGCTGCACCACACGCACATGAACGCTGCAGGAAAGAAGCAACAGCTTTCCGCCTCAGTGGGTGAATGCGAATCTCCCCTTGTTTCGGTGGAAGGGCCGTAAATACAGAACCACTTGCGCATGAAGAGGGACGGCCCACTCCAAGTCTGGTGCTGTTGCTAAGCCTCTGTCGCGGGAGGGGTGGAAATGGGAGGTGACGGGTTATGTTATTTCCTTTTTCTTTTGTTTCTTTGCCATTGGACTTGACCATTTTGCTCCCGGTGCTGCTCACATGGCTCAGCAAGTTCGAGCGTGCGTCTCTTAGGCACAAAGTCCCAAATTTGACCCTCACAACAAAAATTTTCTTCTCCAGTTGTTCTGCAAGGTGCATTTGCAAGTCCACTATGAGCGGAAGTGAGATTGACACCATGAGAGCGGGACGGCAGCATGCGGTGTTTGTGTTAGCTGCTGTGCTATGCAGTGTGTGTTTCTGTGCAACGGCTGCCACCGAAGTGAAGCCCCTCCTTAAGCAGGCTGCCAAACCCGGTTGGCGTGCGGACGGTATTCCGAACTCTATCCATCATGTGCAGGTGCATAAGGAAGGCCATGCGGATTATACAGGCAAACGTGCTCTGAAAGCTGCAGAGGCATCCGTTGAACACAATGCTTCTGTGGTTATGCTTAGGGATGCCGTATCAAGCGCTGAAGCTGTCGCGAGTTCCTCTTTATTAGCGGCAGAGAAGGCTGCGAAAGCTGCGAAGCAGGCTGAGGTGGCTGCAACCGAATCATTGTATGCAGCAGGAAATGCCACATCCGCTGCGACATTCGCTCAGTATACAATGGGGACTGGCACGCGCATAGCTAGAAAAGGTTCGTCTGATGGGCAGAAGAAGCATTTCGAGGTGCAAGCTGGTAGAGCGGAGGATTTGTCTGAGACTGCTTCAGAGAGTGCAGCGAGGGCAGCGTCGAACTCTTTGGCAGCGGCAGTTGAGGCCAAGGAGGCGCTGGATATGGTCACAAAGATTTTAGCAGATGCTGCAATAGCTCGGCAAAAAGCCACGGAGTCCAATGGGAATCTTGAGAACGGTCTGAGCGATGGAATGGCGGCTGTAAGAAACGCCGATATTGCAGCAAAGAGTGCTCAGAGTGCGGCTACCGATGCGAAGAGGGCAGTGGAGGAATCTATCAAGGCAGCGGAGAAGGGCAGGATGGCGTCGACGAAGGCGAAAGAGGCGGCCAGAACAGCACGCAGCGCAATAGAGGGATCTTCGGTGGATAAAACCTCACACGCGACGAGTGTCGCGAGACTCTTTGATGAATCGTTGGATTTTGCCAAACAAGCGACGTCCAGCGCGGGAGCGGTGCAGAACTACGTGGATAACGCATTGCAGTCCGCTGATAGGACAAAGGAGGAAGTTAGCACAGCCACAAGGGCTGCTGCGGCAGCAAACAAGCACTTAAAGGAACTGAATCTCACACATCCTCATGAAAACAAAGAAAGTGCAACGGTGCCAGCAGCCAGTATTCCGAGACACGAAGATTCACCTGGAGAACAAAACAATGATGAACCTACAGTCGGCATCCATCCCGCAGACTCCGCAAACGTTCAACACGATCAGCCACATGGGAGTACGAAGGGTACTGCTACAAGTCAGTTTACTAAGTTCAGCGAGACTAATTCCGAAAATTTACCAAGTGGTACCGCAAAAATATCTGCAACTTCTGATGATGCAAATAGACCAAAAGAATCCTTGTTGCACCGGAACGTCATTACAGACAGAAGCACCAACATTCTGTGTCTAAGGTTCTTATTATTATTGCTCTTTGGGGTATTAATTTTAATCGTTGCGTACTGAGCAGTATGTGCGCGGGACGATGATCCCGCAGTAATTGTGTGTGGCCCTTGGGGATGAATGGGCACACACGTAGCATGTTTGCTTCCCACTTCATTTGCTGCCCCGTGAAGGGCGTAAACTCTTTAAACATTCCCTGAAGGCACTCACTGGACTGTGTGTCGTCAGGAGGGAGGGAGGGAGGGGGGCTTTGTTTTCTTGTTTTCACTTGTGTTTGGGTTTTGCTTCACGCACGGCTGTGCGTCGCCCACTTGGGCGGGTCTTTTCCAACGGTCCTTTCTGTGTGTGCGTGTTGGGTTGCTGCTGATGGGGTGTGCGGGCCTGCGTGGCCGTGTGGTGCTGCTGCTCTCCCCGCTGTGCGTGTGCCGCACCGGCTGTGTCTCTCCCTCTCTCTCCCCTCGCGAAGACAAGCAACCCAAGCGACTTGTGACCATGACGATGAGTGCGCGCCACGTGCCGTTCGTGCTGGCCGCTCTGCTGTGCGGCGTGTGCGTGGCGGCTGTGAATGATTATCAGGCATCAAGGGAAGCTTTGCAGAAGGCTGAGGCTGTTAAAAAATATTTGGAACCGTACTACTCTAAAACTCAACTTGCGAAGGTCTCAGATTATACGTGGAGGTGGGTGCAGGGGGCGATAGCAGAGATGGTTGCAGCTGATGAAGCTAAGGTTGCAGTGGAGGCCGCCAGAAGCGCAATTAATAACGTGAGAGGTGCAGCCTTACGTGCTGAAGAAGCAAAGAGAGCCGTGGAGGCGGTGGCTGTAAAGGTTACTGGTGCACTGAGTGTCAGTAAGAGGGCCAAGGTGCACGCTGCGGAGGTCAGGGCGCTGGCTGACGGGGCCGCTGCTACGGCTGCTGTGGCGAGGAAGCTGGCTGAAGGCGCGGCACAGCAGGCCGCTGGTGGAGTTAAAATGGTTGATCAAGCGGACGTCACGGATGAGCTGCAGGGTGTGGCTGGAAGTACAGGTGCGCCGCACAGCAACGCGGCGGCGGCTCGAGGCCCGCGCGAGCAGGTGGTGGAGGCACGGAAGCAGGTGGCGGAGGCACGGAAGCAGGCGGCGGCAGCCAGTGGGGCCGCTAACCACGCANCGGCGCAGCTGGCCTCTGTGGCGAAGAGTGAGACCGAGCAGGTAGAGGCGAGGGTAAAGGCTGCATTGGAGAACGCGGAGGCTGTGAAGCGGGAGGTGGACCTCATCAAGAGCCGCATGGAGACGGTAAAAATACAAACAACGGAAACAATTAAAACGGCTCTGCTTATTGATGGATCGTCCGATGTGTTTTTCCAGGATCTTGATGGCAAGTTGGATACTCTGGTGGGATACGAAGCCCAACGAATTGCTGGGATTGCAAATAAAACGGCCGAGGATGCAAAAAGAAATATCCCAAAAGATGAGGATGTTAACAACGCAAAGCCAAAAGCGGACTCCGCTGCAAAGACCGCTGACGCCGCACACAAAGAAATGGAGCAGGTCCTCCTGAAACTCAGGGAAGCAGAGAGTGATGTCGACGCTGCGACGCGGGAACTCGTCACTGCAAAGCAACACGTTAGTGCGGCAAACGCTGAAGCCGACGCGGCCGAAACTATTGCCAAGGAAGCACTAGCGATCACTGACAACATCGCGAAGAAAGCAGCACCGGTGAGTCACACTACGGACACCGCGGTTAAAAAGGCTGAAGAGGAGGGGAAAAAGGTTTCCAAGCTGAATAACGGCACATCTGCGCTTCAGGACGGCAGCAGCAGCCCTGTGTGGGTGCGTGCACCGCTGACGCTGCTGCTGGTGGTGATGGGGGCGCTGGCCTGTCTGGCTGCGTGCTGAGCAGTGTGTGCGCGGGACGGTGGTCCCGCAGTAATTGCGTGTGGCCCTTGGGGATGAATGGGCACACACGTAGCATGTTTGCTTCCCACTTCATTTGCTGCCCCGTGAAGGGCGCAAGCTCTTTTTTTTACATTCCCTGGAGGCACTTGCTGGGCTGTGTGTCGTCAGGAGGGAGGGATGGGGGCTTTGTTTTCTTGTTTTCACTTGTGCTTGGGCCTTCCTTCACGCACGGCTGTGCGTCGCCCACTTGGGCGGGTCTTTTCCAACGGTCCTTTCTGTGTGTGTGTTGGGCTGCTGCTGCTGGGGTGTGCGGGCCTGCGTGGCCGTGTGGTGCTGCTGCTCTCCCCGCTGTGCGTGTGCCGCACCGGCTGTGTCTCTCCCTCTCTCCCCTCGCGAAGACAAGCAACCCAAGCGACTTGTGACCATGACGATGAGTGTGCGCCACGTGCCGTTCGTGCTGGCCGCTCTGCTGTGCGGCGTGTGCGTGGCGGCTGCGGCGATTGGGCAAGTACCGCCGCAGGGGGAGTCGGGGGCTAAGGAAGCTGACCTCCAGGCGGCAACCGATGCACTGAACAATGTCAAGGCAGAAGTTGAAGCCGCTAAAAAGGGTGCGGCAGACGCTGTGCGTTCGGCGACAAAAGCTTTTCACGCACAAACCTATGCCTCGCAAAAACTGCAAGACGCTTGGACGGAGGCTGGCAAGGAAATGAAGCCACAGCAACAGCCACAGACGACTGTGGCATTAAATACAGCGACCGAAGCAGCAAAGACAGCGACTGAAGCGGCGAAGACAGCGGTCAAGGCAGCGAAGCAAGCGACTGAGGAAGCACTAAAGATGGCGAATGGGGCCGTTGTTAGTGCTGCTGCTGTCGTGGAGAGCCTCATAAAGGATGCGCAGAGGTACAAGGAAGAGAGCGGCGCCGTGCAGAAGAATGCAACAGCGGGCGCAGCGGCGAAGGCACTAATGGCGGAGGCCGCAACTGCAGCTCAGGCTTCATTGGATGTCGGCAAAAAGCTCCATGAGCTTTGTAAAAAGGCTGCGGGGCGCACCTCTACCGCTTTTAAGGGCGCACAAGACGCAGAAAGTAAAACCAGTGCTGTGACGGCCGTCTCAGTGAAGGACGTTGAAGGTAAGAACGTTGAGGAAAAGCAAAAGAAACTAAACGTAACACAAATAAATATATTGAAAGTGGCAAATGCTTTGGTCCCGGTGGTGGCGTACGGGGATTTCGCATTGTGGAACTTAACTGATGCTGTCATTATGGCTGCAGAGGCGGAGAAACTGAGGAAGGAGGCAGCGAAGCAGGCGGAGGCAGCGAAGAACGCCGTTGACGAGATCCCCGCACCAGACGCCGATCCTCAGACGACGGAGTCGACGCTTGCTGCCACCGGCACGACGGTGACTTCAGAAGAGCAGTTGAAATCAGAGGCCGAGCA